GAACAACAACAGGAACAACAACAGGAACAACAACAGGAACAACAACAATTATGCAATAAAAACAAAAACAAGAGAGACATCAACATGAGCAACAAAAATAGGAACAACAAGAAACAACATAGCAATAGCAACAACAACGTAGCAACTGCGTCAAAAAACGATGACGACAACAACGATGGCAAACAACAACAACAGCAACAACAACAATGAGGTAAGCGCAACAGCAATGATAGAAAAAGCAACGTAGTAACTGCGTCAAAAAACGATGACGACAACAACGAAGTAATTGCAACAGCAACGATGGCTACCATGGCAACAACAATTACAGCACCAACAACGATGACAACAAAAAAGTAACTGCAACAGCAACAACAAAAACAGCAACAACATCGATGACAACAACAATGAAGTAACCGCAACAGCAACAATGGCAACAACAACGAGGACAGCAACAACGAAGTAACCGCAACAGCAACAATGGCAACAGCAACGATGACAAAAACAACAACAGCAACAACAGCAACAACAGCAACAACAGCAACGATGACAACAACAACGAAGTAACCGCAACAGCAACAATGGCAACAGCAACAATAACAAAAACAACAACAGCAACAACAGCAACAACAGCAACGATGACAACAACAACGAAGTAACCGCAACAGCAACAATTGCAACAGCAACGATGACAAAAACAACAACAGCAACAACAACAACGATGACAACAACAACGAAGTAACCGCAACAGCAACGATGGCAACAACCACAACAGCAACGACAACAACAACAACAACAACAACAGCGGCAGCAACTGCTCACTTGATCTCCTGGTCGGTGAACTTGTACACGTGCCAGCAGTTTCCCTCGTCCGTGCTGAACTTGATGGTCTTCGGGTACGGGTCGTTCAGGGGCACAGCCACAACCAGACCTCCGCTGTCGGCAATCTCGTAGGCGTGGGGACCTTTCAGCACCTGACAGAGCAGTGTCCATGGTTCGGTTCAGAATTACAGCAACATTCACAGGCTGTTATTAGTTTTTAACACTTTGCCATCACAAGGCTCATATAGTAAAAATCTTTGGGGGCTCTCGTGGCCTAGAGGTTAAGGTGTTGGCCTCTCATTCAAAGGTCCCGGGTTCGAATCCGAGCAGCGACCGAAAAAATTTTTTCTCTAAAATTGTCTCCTTTCACCTCAGTTCCTGCTCTCTAGCAATGTTCTGTCGTCTGCTTTCAATTCCACTTTCTGTCCCCACCCCCGCACCTCCTTTGCCCCCTCCTCTGGGCTCCTGACTCTTTCTGCAGCCTTTCTACTGCTACTCCTGGGCTCCTCCTTACTGCTGTCTTTCTGCCACACCCCTGATCTTCTGGTGGGAAAGATCTACACCTAG